AATGGTTGGCAGGGCAATATTAGGCAGTCTTCACCCCTTTCCTATTATTAGAGAGAAAACCATTTTCAAATATTCCTTTAACACCTAAAGCATCTGTCCTCCCTTCACCTTTTGGCAGCAGCAATCAGAGCCTAGGAGTTCATTACTGCTTTTAGTCATTTAAGACTCTAAAGAAACAATTAAGATTAAACTCCATTGAAAGCACCAGAAATTCAAGGCTTTATAAACCTCTGCCAATTCAATGAAGCTCTCAGACCTATAATTCTGGAGCTGCAAACACTGTGTGCAGACAGAGGATTTCAACACTTGCCTGGATCCCCAGCCCCAGTGGACTGACTCGAATCCAGACTTTATCTTTTGTGTTGCACAGAGTCCTGCAGAGAACACTCACTCAGCACAGCCCCAACTGCTGAGTCAGCAAAGGAAGATGCTGCAATCATTTCATCCTGACAGTTCTGTGTTTAAAAGGACAGTATCTCCCCACTCCCCAGGAGGAAATGCCACTTGTGGCATCCCAGGAATCATATGGAGGAGTTCTACCCCAAGCTGGAGATTTTTAGGCAAAAATCAGGTATTAGACTCATACTAAGGGTGAGGTGCTCTGCCAAGAAAAGGCTTGGGGGACTCTCCAAGTGACACAACAGTGCAGTCAGTGCCTGCAATACTGCACTGACTGGTTCAGCTGTCCTCAGGATGGAAAATGAGCTCCCTGAACTCACCCCTGACAAACCAAGGAGCTCCAGCCCAGCACCAGCCTCCTGCTGCAGCTGAAGGGAACAACTTCCAGATCTGTTGCAACTTGAACTACTAAATATAGCCTTGAGCTATGAGGCAAGAGAATGACAGACTGTAATTCCCAGCTTGCTTTGGGTAGCAATCAACAGTGCCAAGAACATCAAAGCCAGCAGCAGCCACTAATTTCAAATATCACTGTTTTACAAATCATTATTTGTAGTGAAGAGGCAGCTCCTTTCAATCCTCAGCGAGGAGAAGCAATGGAGAGAAGGCAAGGAGGGAATATCAATGGTTGCAGACATATGCTTCAGTCTGAGGACAACTTTCATTCAAGATGATGTTCTCTGCCTACAAGAACTTGGAAGTAAGGGCAGAAGGAGACACAGGGCTTTGTCTGCTCTTGGAACCAAGAGCTGAGGATCAGGGTGGATACAGCCTTAAGCAATGGGTTCACCACCAGACCCAACCCAAACCACCATGGCAAGGACGAGGTGATGCACTTGGTCTGCCAGAGACCTCCCACTGAGGTGAAGAAGTCTATTGGCATTGGATGTGCTCCACTATGACACCAGTGCTCTCAAACATCATGGTTAAGGGACTCACTGTTTGATAAGAAGACCAAAGGCCATCTGATACCAAGAGACACATCTTCTGCTCTCACACAGTTAAAGCTTCCCTTCAGAAAAGGGGCTATTTGTTTCCTAGGTCACATCCTGCTTCTTGGCAACACTGTGTGTGCCTCTAATTGCTGGCAGGGCTGGAACACACAAAATCTCCCACTGAACAGAGGTTATGAGCCACTCTGGGTCAGAGAGAAGACAGCAAATAAACACCTGTCCACAAAGCCACTCACAAAGCTACCATTGAGTGAGCACCAAAGGTGACAGAACAAACCAACTATTTCCAGATCATAGAATCATCAAGGTTGGAGGAGATCTCCAAGATCATTAAGTCCAACCATTAACCTGCCAATCCACAGCAAAGATCACCAGGTCTGCCCCACACTGCCCAGCTGTGTTCCACCTGGACACCTTGGGAAGGGGAGGGAGAGGAGACTCTGCCAGCACACCCACAATTTAGAGCTTTTTCTTCAACGTTCAAAGAGCATTTTCCTCCTCGCTGTACCCCAGAAATATACAGATGCACATGATATTAGATCTTTTAGTTCATCCTTCAAATGGCTCCAGCAGGTAAAAGGAAGGTATGAGAAGAACACAGGGAACAGCTCACCCAAGGTCACACAGCACATCAGTGACAGATCATGGCAAAGACCCCACACCTGAGTAGCCCCAAGCACTGTCAGCAGGTCCCTCACCATCACCTCTCACATCTAGAGATTCTGCTAAGGAGGGTGTGGATGTGTGGGGAAGGGGAGGAGGAGCAGTTCCAGGCTCACATCCTCTGCTTTATTTGACTTAGAGGAGACGTAAGAGCTAATTACTAAATGAAACAATCCCTGCTGGTAACAGCCCCTCCTTCCTCTGGCTTCCTGGAATTGTGTCTGGATCCTCTGACTTTCCTACCACCCTGCTCTGCACAGCTTTGTGCTTTTACCAAACCCAAACTTGCTCCTCCTCACACCTCACCTGGCTCTCTGACAGGTTACACTCCTGCTAACCCTCCCACTATTCCTTTTCCTCCAAAGAGGATTTTAGCTGGAAAACCAAGGGTTGTTTAGGCTTACCCTCTCTCTCATCCCTCTGCCAAGCTGTTTGCTGCCTCGGAATATCCACTGATTCCACGTTCACTGCTGATTCCAGGTGAGCCCCACAAACCTCTAATGACTCTGATTCATAAGCACTTAGGTAATTGGCTATTAACCACTGGGTTTGATAGTGTTGCACACATTGCATTCTGATTGCATCATGCAAGCCTGTGAGGGACTGCAGCTCCAGCATTAGCTGGGTGAGTTCTCATTCCACTCCCAAAAAAGAGGTTAGCAAGGAAATTCTCTTTTCCAGCTGAAGGCCCAAACCTCCAAGGCCTTGGACATGGGAAATGTAGGGCTGAGACAGCAATGTGGATCTACAGCTCCATTCCAGGTTGATGTTTACCATGCCACAAATGGAGCATCCCAATGTATTTTAGTACCAGATTAATCCCATCTTATCACTGGGATCATAATCAAGTCTTTTCCTAATGCTTTCTTAGTGTGCTCTACTGATGGGGGGAGAGAAGCTCCATTCATTACTAACTTGCTTGGAGATCCTCAGAGAGAGGCCAAAGGAATTAAGCCCTTTGTTCTCTATGTATCTTCAATGATTTCTGCCACCACAAAGGCAGCTAAGAGACTATTCAGATGTTAGTTTTGATTCACAGCATCATGTTGGGTGGAAGAGAAATCCAAGGGTCACCTAGTCCAACCTCCTGCTCACAGCAGGTTTATGTTGCTCAGGGTCACATCAGTCAAGTTTTGAGCATCTCCAAGGATGGAGGTTCCACAGTCTCTTTGAGCAACTTGATTCTAAAGCTGTTTAAATCAGTAAAACCATAAGTTAGCACAATTACAACTTCCCAACTGGAATCCAAGTCTGCAGCTCTAAAAATAATCTTGCTGAAGCTGATAACATTTCAGTTTGAATCTTTCATGCAGAAATAAAACTTTAGGGGTTTTGTAGCTGAGGCCACAACACAAAGAGCCTTTAGTCACCCTCTCAATGCAGAGAATGAATGGGAATAAAGCTTCTCACTGAAGTGACAGGTGAGGCTCAGCCAGGATAGAATGTTTTCTCTGGAAATAGGAAAGAGGGGAGAAGAGAAACCTCTCTGCTGAGCAGATAAACAGCATGATGGAGCAGAGTGAGGAAGGGCTGTGCTCAGCACAAGGGATCTGCAGCCTCAGGTCCTGTCTGCATCCCACAGAGCTGCTGAGCAGGA